AGGCAGGCTGATTGATCTCTGTGAGTTCAAGGCCATCCTGGTCTACAAAGTGAGTTCCAGAATTGCCGGGGCTACATAGTGAGACTCTGTTTCAAAAAAACAAACAAAATAAATAAACAAATCCCTTGTTTAAAAAGTTAGTAATGGAGAGGGAAGGCCGGCAGGAGGTGGGGAGTTCAGTGCCTTCCCTGTAGTGCACTGGCCTCTCTGCTGCCCCCTGCTGAACTTAGCCGGCTCTGCACTGAGCCTCCAGCACCACCCCTCACTCAGTCTGCACTGCCAATTCACCTTTCACCTTTTTAAACCCAGTTAATGGCACGTCAGTCCGCAGAGTCACTCAAAGTAGATCTCATTCTGTTCTCAGGTCTACACACTATTACTATTACACTATTAGATATCTGATTCGGACTACATGAGGCTGCACTGCCCTGAAATTCTTAAAAAGCAACTAAGGACTTTGTGTGAGTAGAAAGGGGCATTGCTGGGGATTCAACCCAGGGCCTTACACATGCTTGGCCAGTGCTCTATACCACTGAGCTATGACATCACCTCTTAGGACACCGTTTTTGACGTTTTATTTTATGTGTACAGCTGTTTTGCATTCATGTATGTTAGTGCACTGCTTGCACCCCAGATGTCCACAGAGGACACTGGGCATTGGATCCCCTAGGACTGGAGTTACAAATGGTTGTACTGCCGTGTGGGTGCTGGGAATCAAACCTGGGTCCTCTAGGAGAACAGCCAGTGCTCTCAACTGATGAGCCATGGCCTCAACCCCAGCTCTATTCTTTAATGAGGAAAGCACTTCCGGGTGTTGTAGACAATTTCTGTTTTCACTCTCACTCTCTAGCCCAGGCTGGCCTTGAATCCAAGTTCAGTTCCCAGTAGCCATATCAGGTGGCTCACAACCCCTGTAACTCTGGCTCAAAGGGATCTGACATCATTAGCCTCCAAAGGCACCTCCACTCACGTGTACATACACACACACACACACACACACACACACACACACACACACACACACGAGTGTACACACTCTCAAGCACACACGTACACACACAATTAAAAATAAAAACAAAATTTTAATTCAACAAACAAGTAGGTCCAAACCGCAATGTGGCCACCGCAAACAGATGCCAATGAATGTATGTGTGGGACTCCGAGTCAGGATGGAACCATCCGCCCACAGTCATCTACTGACCTTGGCCACCCAGGGTGGAGGCAGCTGTGTGGTAAGTCTCACAGTCCACACAAAACGTTCCTTGTTTCTCCGCCCCAAGCATCTCTAATTTCCTGGTGAGGAGCTCCACTGTCTGCTGGACACTCCTGCCCTCAGCCACAGGCATTTGGGACACACTGAAAAACAGAACACCAAGTCAGCAGTGTCCAGAGACAGATATGTTCTGGCTCAGCCACCCCCCAAACAGGTAACAGATCAACAGGGCTAGGAATTACTTTAGACAACACCAACTCTGATCCCTGCCCCTTAAACCTGAGAAAGGAAGAGGCCCACAGGTCCCAAGGGTTCCTCAAACCAGCAGAGCACAGGTCTCAAGTGTCTCACGTGTGTGTGTGTGTGTGTGTGTGTGTGTGTGTGTGTGTGTGTGTGAGTGAGTTTTCTACCACATCAGCGTTCCCCAAGTAAGGCATGTGTGCCAACATTTAAGTGATAATTCTAGGCGGCACACATTAAGTACCACTGATCTGTACAGTGATTGTGATTGATGGTGTTTGCTGCCAAGCTGAGAGAACCTAGAATCACTGATTATTTGTTAGAGACAGGATCTCGAAGTACAGCCAAAGCTGATCTGGAGTTAACTACATTAGCCCAAGTTGACCTCAGTCTTTTAGCAATCCTGTCTAGGCCTCCCAGGTGCTGGAATTACAGGTGTACACTTGGCTGAGACCTAGCTCTCCCCCCACCCCATTTTGTTTTGTTGTTTTTCCAGACAGGGTTTCTCTGTGTAGTTTTGGTGTCTGTCCTGGATCTCGCTCTGTAGACCAGGCTGGCCTCGAACTCACAGAGATCCTCCTGGCTTTGCCTCCTGAGTGCTGGGATTAAAGGTGTGCACCACCACTACCCAGCTGAGACTAAATGAGGAGTGGATAAACAGCTGAGCAGGACAGCCCTCCTCCTGACTATGGACACAATGTGACCAGCCACTGCCTGATATTTTGACTCAAATAGTGAGTCAACATAAACTCTGATATTTTGACTCAAATAGTGAGTCAACATAAACTCTATCAGAAGTTGCTTCTGTCAGGGATTGAGCCACAGGCCGCTGGCAGGTAGGGCTCTAGACACTGTGGCCAGAGCTTTCCCACTATCAGAGTCCCATTGAACAGCACCAAGAACCAAGAGAAAGCAGCCCTCAGGTGCATCAGCCTAGAAAAAGAGACTCAACAGTTGTTTCAAGAACTTCAACTGTTTTCCAGGTTTCCACCTTATGATATAGCTTCCCCAAGGAGCAGCTTCCTCATGGCAATTTCTGTCGAGCACCAGCTCTGTGCAAGAACTGTAGGCCTTCTGATGAATTTCTTCTCCTCCTCCTCCTCCTCCTCCTTCTCTTTTTTTTGAGACAGGGTCTCACTATGTAGCTCTGGCTATCCTGGAACTCATTATGTAGACCAGGCTGGCCTCCAATTCACAGAAATCTGCCTGCCTCTGCCTCCCAAGTGCTGGGATCAAAGGTGCCCCTTCAGATGGAGTGACTGAACCTTCTAAAGGTCCCGTCCTCTATCAGCTTACTGCAAATGGGGAAACTGAAATTACAAAGACTGAACGACCTGCACATGGTCATGCAGCTAATGGACAGTATCATCAAGATTCAAAGCCATGCAACCTGGCTCCTCCTCTGAGCTTTTTTTGTTGTTTTGTTTTTTTGTTTGTTTTTTGTATGTCATGTTTTTCTCTATGTAGACCCAGCTGTCCTTGAACTCGCTCTGTAGACCAGGCTGGCCTCGAACTCACAGAGATCCACCTGCCTCTGCCTCCCGAGTGCCTCATCTGCACTTTTTAACCTTTCTCTTACACTGCCTCTAGGGATGTCATGGCCCGCTAACATTTATTAAATTTTATTTATTTATTTGTTTATGTATTTATTTATTTAGTTAGTTTTTCAGGACAGGGTTGTTCTGTGTAGCACTGGCTGTCCTGGAACTCAATTTGCAGACCAAGTTCAAGGCTGGCCTTGAACTCAGAAATCTGCCTGCCTCTGCTACCTGAGTACTGGGATTAAAGGCATGAGCCACATTGACTGGCAAGGTATAGTCTGCTAAAATGGTTCTAAAGAGACTGTTGGAGACCGGGAACTCAACACTGCAGCCACTGCTCATCTGGAATTCACTCCATGAGCCCCAGCTGACCTCACACTTGCCTGCTCCTGCTCGCTCTCCCATGTACTGGAATTAGAGGCGCACACGTGGCTGAGATCTACCGTACGAACAGTGAATAAATAGGAACACAGATGGCACTTAACTGTAGGAGAAAGTCAAGACTTTTTCCAAACTACTTTACAATCAATCAGTTAGATAAATCTATTAAGTGGGAACCCTACTGTTACCAAAACCTGTACTCTGTTTGGAAAAAGCAGCAATAAGCAATATATGAAACAAGAGAATCACTAAACTGACAGTATGACAGAAATTCTGGGATTCTGAGAAAGCTGTACCGATACTAGTAGGCAGGGGAACCCTTTTCCCAGGGACTACCTTCTCTGTACAACGAACCCAAGGCAGGCAGGCATTGGTGGAGCACTCCTGTAATCCCAGGACGCAGGAGCAGAGGCAGGTGATCGAAAGTTACAGAACGCCTGTCCTACACGGCCATAAAAGCACACATAAAGATGAGCGACGGCAGATTCTAGGGCTCAGAGACTCTACTGGGATTTCTATTTTTACCGTCGACAGGCACTCTTCACAGTGTGAGGAGGCTGAGACGAGACTCCTGGTGTCAACTGAGGGGCATGTATAGTCACTACAAGGCCTGCAAGAGCCTAGGCTACCTGAATAACTTCCCACAGGCACCTTTCACTGAACAAACCTGTGGCCCGTAACTTCACGAACCCTGGCCTCCATGCATCTCTAACTGGGAAGATGCACACCCCTACCGAGATTTTTTTAAAGTGCTGAGACCTAGTGCTTTGTAATTAATGCCCAGAAAAGCAAAGTGTGCAGACGTTACCGACCACCCCTCTTTTTCCAAGTGAGATTTAAAACATGTTTGAGATTAAAAAAAAAAAAAGTCAATAAAAACTGACTCAAACATGTAGGAAGTGGTTCCTGAATCGTTAATGTGCCTGGGACCCCGATCTCCAAACCCTCAACAGCTCCCTCTCTCCTCCCTCTGACACTAGACCCAGTATCTTAAAGCGGCCAAATTAAAGCCAGGCTGCTATCACTGCAAGCAAAATGTAAAAGTCGCTTTCTCCTTGCGCCCTTTTTCATCCCTGCCTGCAAATAATTCCTAGTCCAGAAACCCTATTTCCAACTTTTGGGTCCTACTCGCGACGGTACAAAGGCCTCACGGATGGGAAGAAGTACCAAGAAAAAGAAGGTGCGATTCCTGGCAGGTTCTCGGGATGAAGCGCTCGCTTTTGCAAAGGGATGCGTCTGGGAAGGAAGAAGCACCACACGGCGTCCCGTGCTCCACACGACCCGAGGACGGCTTTGCAGCCCGCGAGGAACGGAGAATCTCGGCCCCAATCCCCCTCCCCGGGCCACTGCAGGCCTACAGGCGCCTTCGCGACCCCAAGCTCCGTCCCGCAGAAACCCCGGCATTCCTACCAAGTCACTCCCATGGCGTAGGCTCAAAAAGGTGGCACTTCCAAACACTCCACGCAGAGAAGCCAGAGGCCCACGGCAGATGCAGCCACCCGAAGCAGGAAGCAGGCGTAGAACCGGCTCCGGAAATACGCAAATACTGAGCGCCAGGGCGGCGCGCCCACAGGAAAGGGGCGTGTCCGACCACGCCGGCGGTGACACCTCTAGTACGTCATCGATCCGGCCCCGCCCCCAAGGCGCGCTTTGCTTTGACAGGACAATTTACGTTACCTTCATGAATTCTGGAACCGGTGACTCGGACATCCACCTCTTCCAGACAATGAAATTACCTACCTAAGAACTTGGGGAGTCCAGCTCCAGGCCCCGCAGGTCTTCGAGAGATGGCGGTATATGAGGAACTTCCGGCCTCCGAACGCTGGGAGGCGCTGTGATCTCTCGGTGACCTCTTGGACACCGGACTACAAGGCGCAAGCGCAGTCTTGGCTTTAAGCCGGCTTCCCACGTGTGAACCTTGTGGGCAAGTTTTTCGAGAAAAATGCCCAAACTCAAGGTGGCCCGTGGGGCCGGGAATCAGGAGAAGCATGCACCTCTGGCCGAGCAGATTCTGGCTGGGAACGCAGTGCGCGCGGGGACCCGAGACAAACGGCGGGGACGCGGGGTCGAAGAGGAGGAAGAGTATGTGGGACCCCGGTTGAGCAGACGGATTTTGCAGCAAGCCCGGCAGCAGCAAGAGGAGCTCGAGACTGAACACGGGACTGGACACCAGCCTGCAAAACCGCGAGAGCGCGCCACGCGGCTGGGTGAGTGACGAGGGGTGGAGAGGTGGGTTGGGCCGGGGTAACGCAGTCCACCCGGATACTGGTTTGGAATGAAAAAGAAGAGGCAGCTTTTCTTTCCCGCGTGGTCCTTCGCTTCCACTCCTGGCTTCTGGAACCTCAGAGTTAAGCCAACAGGAAGTGATCGCTCACATCGACTTCTAATATTTATTCTCTGGGCTTGTGAAGTATTTGTGGGCTCCCTGCGTAATGCTTTTAACAGCGCTAAGAGTTTAGGCAGTTCTGATAGCCGAAATAAACAAGATACTCGTCCCTGCTTTGACCACTGGAAGTCTGGCCCAAGGCAGAGAACATTAAGTAGATGATGAAGTAATATATTCCAGCCAGGAGCGGCGGTGCTCGCCTGTAATCCCAGCACAAGAGAAGCTAAGCCAGAAGAAGGCCCTCTTGGGCTACATAGTAAGTTCCAGAACAGCCTGAGCTACCTACGTGGTATAGCCCTGTCACGCAAGAGCGTGAGAGAAAATGAATATATTCCTATTCAAAACAACAACAACAAAACCCTCCATTAATTCTACAGGACAGGTTTCCCAGGTTTTGTGCCTTTCTAACTAAGGTCTGAAAAGCAAATGGGAAATATTCCAGTAACAGGAAAGAAAGCAGTATTGTTTAGAAGCACGGGGGTGGAGGTCGGGGTGGGCCGCACAGATGAGTGGGAAGGTGCTTGATACTTGTCTCATTGGGGAGGAAATATGTTGACCTCCAGTTGCTTAGTTTTTCATTCTTATTTGTCCTAAAAGCGGTATTGAGATCGTTGAATATGGCTTTAGGACCACAGTAGCTTTACCTGCTTTCTTTTAGGTGTTTTGAGGTAGGGTCTCATGCCCAGGATGGCCTTAAGCTCCATATGTAGGTGAGGATAACCTTGAACTACTGGTTTGCCTCTGCTTTCCAAGTGGTGGCATTATACATGTTTGATACCATACTTCCCTTAAAAGAAAAAAAAAAATTTTTAATTATGATACTGTGTCTCCTTAAGTTGCTCATGCTGGACTTGAACTTGCTCTGTGACCAAGGCGGGCCTGGGCTTTTGATCCTCCTGTGTTGCTGTCAGCAGACTCCAGTTCGAAGCGATCTATTTGATGACTACTCCCAGCTTTTTCTCCCAGACATAGCTCTTCCGGGAACCTGACATCCTTATATCCAACCGTCTACCTGACATCTCTCTGCTTGCTCCATGGAGTCTGTTAGCACACTAGCCTTCCCTTGCTCAAAACAGAATCTTGGGCTCCTCTTTCTCACTCTACATCCGATTTGTCAGGAAACCCTGATGACTTTGTCTTCAGAATATATCCAGAACCGGATCAGTTTCCATTAACTTGAAACATCCTCCTGTTTAAGCAACCACGGTCTCTTCCCCTGAATCACTGTGGTAGCATCATAATTTGTGTTCTGTAGCCTCCGTAGTCCATTCAACAGCTAGAGATCAACGGCACCCTGTTTGTTCTGTCTCTGCTGTCAGCTAGGGGGGTGATGCGATAATTCAGTTGGTCAAATACAAGCTTTGAAAGCAGGAGGCTCTGACTTCAATGCCCAGCAGCTTGTAATCCCAGAGCTAGGGAGTTGAAGACAGATCTCCTGGGCTCACCAGGCATCCAGGCAAGCCTAATCAGCTAACCCCAAGTCCCAGCCAGACCCTATCTCAAAAAAACCGAGGTCATCAGATCCTGAGGAATAACACTGAAGAGTCACCTCTCCTGCACACCTGATGTAAGTGTGCACACACATACGAAAACTAAAATACCTACCCCACAGATGTCCACATGCATCTCTGCCCTGTTTGTTTCATAACACTTATCTTCTTTTGTTTTTTTAACATTTATTTTGTGTGCATGTGCGGCGTACCAGGATGTGTGTAGAGAGCAGAGGAAAACTCTCAGTAATTGGTCCTCAGATCTTAACACTTTGTTCTCAGCCAAGCAGTGATGGCGCACGCCTTTAAGTCCAGCACTTGGGAGGCAGAAGCAGGCAGATCTCCAAATTCAAGGCCAGCCTGGTCTATATAGTAAGTTCCAGTCAGCCAGGGATACATAAAAAAACCCTGTCTTGAAAAACCAAGTAAAATAAAAGAAAAAGAGCATTTGTTCTTGCAGAAGACCGGAGTTGGGGTCCCAGTATTCATGTGGCAGACCACAGCTATCTCTTAACTCCAATTCCAAGAGATCATGTGCACTCTTCTGACCTCTTTGGGCACCAGGCACACTTGTGATGCACAGGCATACACATAAAATAATATATATACATCTAAAACAAAATTTAAAGAAAAGTAACAATAATACTTTGCTCTCACTGGATGAGCTCTGCATACTCTCCTGAGCTGTGTATACCCTTAGTCCAATTCTGTTGCAAATGACCCGCAGTCATGTTATATTTCAACTCCTTCGGTTTATTAGACTCTTTCTAGGGGCTTTGCCAGCAATGTGTGGTGTTTCAAAAGTCAGGCAGATTTCTGTGAGTTTGAACAAGTTCCATGCCAGCCAAGGCTACATGGTCAGACCCTGTCTGTCTCTGTCTCTCTGTCTGTCTCTCTCTCTCCCAAAAAAAAAAAGTCGGGAATTCAATGTTAGGCATTTGTGGTACGTGTTTGTAATTCTAACACTTGGGAGGTAGAGACAGGAGAACAAGGAATTCCAGGTCATCCTTGACTACATAAGTCAGTATTGTAGAATAGAGTATTTGTTTAACTATGTAAAGATGTGTTAGATTTGTTTGTGTTATAGAATATTTGTTTAACTGTCTAAAAATGTGTTGCATGTGTTTATGCTGCATTTGTTTAACTATGTAAAGACGTGTTGCTGTTTCACCCTGCCTGCCTAAGGCACCTGATTGGTCTAATAAAGAGCAGAACAGCCAGTAGTTGGGCAGAGGAGCGATAGGAGAGTCTGGAGCTCAGAGGGAGAAACGACTAACCTGCCGCACGCCAGACAGACAGTCATGGGGGAAACAGGAAAGCAGGGTGGGCAGTGCATAGATGAGGTAAACAAGCCTCAGGGCAGCACATAGGTTAATAGAAATGGGTTGGTTTTTTTCCCTCCCCCGCCCCCTCCCCCCCACACACACACAGAGTTTCTCCGTGTAGTTTTGGTGCCTGTCCTGGAGCTCACTCTGTAGCCCAGGCTAGCCTCGAACTCACAGAGATCCACCTGGCTCTGCCTCCAGAGTGCTGGGATTAAAGGCATGCGCCGCCACTGCTGGGCAGTTAAGACTGGCTAGAAACAAGTCTAAAGTTAAGATTGAGCATTCATGGTTAATAATAAGTCTCCGTGTCATGGTTGGGGGCTGATGGTCCAAGAGAGCCCGCTACAAGTCAGTAACTTGTGTACTGGTTGATTAGAGACTGAACACCACTGCCCAGCCCTGGGGCCTTCCAGGTTGGCTGCACTTTTCCTTTCGGGCCCAATGGTCCTGTTTCTGGCTCTGGCTCTTTAATTCTAATAATATTAAAGTCCTTTTCTTTCTCTGATATGAGACACACTCTTGCTCCCAAATTGCCCATCCAAAGCCTCATCACCCTCTGTACTAGTCTAAGCTCTGTGGTACCCACCGCCTCTCCCATGGTTTAGTTTGAGCACGTGACGCAGCTCTGCTGTGCAGGCAGCATGGCGGGGTAGAAGGTACCGTTGGGGAAACTGCCCGCTGTGGACACATCCACTTTCCTGTCCCGTTGGAACTGGGTGCAGTGATCGTGCCTGTTTCTTGGGGTTACCTGGACTAAACAGGTCTCACGCGTGTACTAGAACGGATCCCTCTAGGACCCTGGGGATGGCATGTCAGCCGTTGTTTACCAGCATCACTCTGTTTCGTTTGTTGTACTTTATCCCCCAAGAGTCTAAGTGTCTGGGAGCAGAAAGATCGTCGGTAACTCTGCTCCTCCCTTGCGCACATGTCTCCGACACCCTGGGCCTGCAGTACCTGGCGGACGTGGACTGACGCAGAAGCCACTGCCCTCCATGCTTACCATTTTATCTTCCCTCTTTAGGGCCCGGAGTGCCACAGGATGGATCCGAGGATGAGGATGAGGAGTGGCCCACCCTGGAGAAGGCAGCCAAAATGACCGGGGTGGACTACCAAGCAGAAGTGGTTGTAGACCCTGAAGATGAACGCGCCATTGAAATGTTCATGAACAAGAACCCTCCCGTCAGGTAGGGCTCCAGAGCTGGGACGGTGGATCCTGGTAGAAAGTTCCCACAGGCCAGTAAGTTCCCTGGCCAGCTTTTGATCTGAGCATTGCCAGCTGTAAAAACACACCTTGACCAAACCTTCTGAATGGGTGTGACCCAGACTCCAAGTATCTCCCCCTTTTGTCCATCTGATGTAGAACTTCCTGGGTTACCCCGTTCCTTTTTATATCTGGGGGTCCATTCTGTTGTGTTTGTTCTTAGTGTGTTGCTCTCAGATCTTCAGCTTCCTTAAATTCAGGGCTTTCAGTCTCCGTACCCGCATTTGGGCTGGGTTACTAGAACCTAAGGACCTAAGCAGCTGTCTCTTATATCTCTCCTCTTGACACCAGTAGTGATAATGAAAAATTATCCCAGGGATTGCAAAATATCGCCAGAGGGGTAAACCGCCTCCAGGGAGAAGCACAGATTCACCCCCATCTAGTCCAAATGCTGCTTCTAAACCTGCAGGTATTTAGACTGCCTGTGGGCAGATGCTGGGCAGATGTGTC